TTTTTATATTAAAAATATTTGTAATTGTAATAAATTATGTATGTCCATATTAATTTATCTCCGTCCCATTTACTTATATAAAATGAAACATCTACATATTCCGGGCAGACATTATCCACATTACAGACTTTACAATAACTTACAAAATTACCTTACATCTATACACACGTAAGACATTTCACATTACACTTCATTTGTAAAACTTAGTAATTTCTTTATTCTGAAATTCTAAATAAATATACGTTCGTGTTTGTACGGTGCGGGGTGCGGAGTGCGGGGTGCGGGCTAGCAGGAGGAGGCGGGCGGGGGCGGGGGCGGAGGCGCCAGGAAGGCGGGCGGCGGGGGCGCCCAGGGCGGGCCGAAGGGACCGCGCCACGCCATGCCCATCATGCCTGCAACACAATCAAACATTTCAATACTATCTAAGTTTTATCGTGAAATTCAAGTTCCGAAACACTGTTCTGTGGATGTTTTGTTTGTTAGTAAAAACGTGCGCTGATTACCCGGGGGAGGCGGCATGTGCGGCCCGCCCGGCATGTTGGGTCCGCCCATCTGGTTGTCTCCCTGCGATACAAAATTAAATTATACTTCCAATTCCTTGCTATAAGAAAGGCTAGTACAAGAGTTGTATTAGTGTAGTGGGTACCTGGTGCATCGGATGCCGCGGTGTGGGCGGCAGCGGGGGGAAAGCGGGCAGCGGCGCACTGCCCGGCGGCGGCGGCTGGTTGTTGGCCACGCCCGCTGCAATCACACAACTGTTATAGACAACTAATACTACTCAGGAAACGTTACCAGTGTTGATATTTAATGAAACGTTTTCCAACTTTTAGACATGTCAGGTATTTATCAGATAAGTTACCGAGCCAGGGCGCAGGCTGGCCGGGCTGCACGTGCGGCGGGGGCGGCGGGGCGAAGGCGCCAGGCGGCGGCGGCAGAGAGGCCGGCAGATTCGCTGCAACATAACCAAGAAACAATTACAATTAAACAATTTCAGATTAGTCATTTAAATTTTTAGTTCGCTCGAGTGTTCCTGAAGGAAAGAAATAGACTGAAATTCTACTTTCAAAATACTATCAGCATTACGACGACATACAGTGAGCCATACAATTGTATTAGATAGGCTCAAAGTTGTAAGCAAAAAAATATGTTACCGGGCATGATGGCCCTGGGCGTCTGCGAGTTCTGGAAGAGTCCGAGGCCGCCGCGCCTCGAGGCGCCCAGGCCGCCCAGGCCACCGCCAGCACCACCAGGCGGCGCCTCGCCCAGCTCCGCCATCAGCGACATGTACTCCTCGTCGATCTTAGCCTGAACAAAATGTCACACAAACAATCAGTTTTCCATAGTTCAAATGTCTATTTTGTGATTGAAAATTAATCGAAATATTATTTTTTCATGACATTAGACAGCGGATCCGTAGCAGTACAAATGTATGTGTGTGTGTGTGGGGAGGGGGGGAGGGGTAGGTGGTGAGGGGGAGGGTGTACCTTGTTGGCGTGGTGCAGCAGCTGGCCCTGTCCGGGGCGCTTGGCGCGGCAGTCGCGCGCGATGTGTCCCGCGCCGCCGCACGACGAGCACACGATGCTGTTCGTCACGTTCGGCTTGTCCGGGCACTGCGCAACGTGACACGCAACACAATGAAACACTACCACAGCCATAGAGTCATAGAACCTCCTTGTAGCACAGGAGAGTTTATAAGATACCATGGAGTTCGAACTGGCCGGTAACGCAGCGGAGTGCGCTTTAGTGGGAAAATATTAGAACAACAATAAGAGTGAAAAATATGTGTTTACCATCCAGGTCTTGTGGTCGGTGGCGGTGCAGTTGGCGCAGCGCGGGCCGTCGTTCTCCCGCAGCGTGCCGTTGAGCTGGGCCAGCTCGCGCAGCTGCATGCGCCGCAGGTCGTTCTGACCCTCCGGCACCTCCACGCCTTGACGGATCACCTCCTTTATCTGCGACACATACAAACTACACTGTACACACCATTTCAACTATTTTTTTCGCCACAAAAATGACATTGGTGTAAAAATATTTTTTTCAGAAGAAAAACCGTTCCTTGAACATCAAAGTCGTAACAACGTACGTACCTTCTCGACGGCCTTCTTGACGCAGTCGGCGTTGGTGGCGGTGATGTAGGCGTGCAGCGGCTCGTCCTCGCCGGGTAGCGGCTGCCCGTCCTTGCGCCCCACCTTGCCCTCCTTCACCGAACCCTTGCCGCGGATTATTATCTTCGCTCCAGTCTCCTTCTCCATCGCTGTAACACATCACAGGAACATTCATTTAACGTCACGCGAAACCATCACACTGACACAAGTAAAATACATAGACATTCGGATTAAATGTTGTACCTTTAAGCGTGTTCCCGCGCGGTCCTATGAGCAGGCCGACAAAGTTAATGTCGGGGTGCTCCTCCTGCGGGATCATCACCTTGTCGTGCACGCGGATGATGGGCGGCCTGCGACACGCAACACGTTTATTCAGGAAAGAGGAGAAGACAACGGAAAGCCAATAAGAACATCTATTCGTGACAGCATTAAATATATCCATACAAGATACATTAGTATAATATGGGTGTGAAATTTGTATAGTTTGCATGTGCGTGAGTTACTTGTAGTCAGGCGGTGGCTTGAACTCCGGGTTGATCTGGTGCATGCGCTGCACGAGCCGGTGCCGCTCCTCCTCCAGCTTGCGGCGCGTGCGGTACTCGCGCGTGTTCAGCCGCTTGCCGTCCGTCGAGTAGATCGGCTCCGGGGAGGGGGACCTGCAACACGCAACACGCACCACGGCTCACCCTCACTGTACACCTGCACCTACATCGCCACAACTCTATATGGCCACACTGACCACATACAACTCAACAAATAACAAATATTATCTTTTGTCACAAATGTGTTGTATTTCTTGAAATAAATTGAGTTGAATGTCTTCAATATGTCAATACTAAAACTATAAGTAAAATATATTCAAATTCCGGTCAAATTAATGGCAGAATTCTATTAACTAATCCTATGGCATACAAAGATCATCATAAAAATGCGAACTAACTTTGTGATTGCAAACGTTATCGGTATTTATGTCTTTGTGAATTTACTGCATATTTCAAAAGAGTTGCGACCGAAAAGAGACTATTAAACCAATATTTTAAATAATAAAATAATTTATAACTGTTATTAAAAATTATTGAAGTTGGACCAATAAATAAATTTTTATTCTATCATAATAAATCATAAATAAATTTGGTAAACCACTCCACTGTAAGATACCACACACTCTCACTGACAAACTTTATTTTATTCATTAAATATAAATGAAACATAACTGTCATTAAAAAAATAATGATTATTATAATGATAGAGTGCAGAGAGAGAGAGAGAGAGAGAGAGAGAGAGATAAACCTAAGAAAGACCTAAATGTGTCACAAAGCCCTGAGAAAGAAATATTCATTATTATAAATGATTAACCTGAAATTTGAATATTTATTAGCGCTGAAAATAAGTAGATTAAACTTGTTCAGCTGAAAAAGGTTTTGAATTATTATAACTGATTAGACCGATTTGATAATATATCATAATGGCGGTCTGTGCATTACCTGCAAAATTAAAACTGCACATTCATTAGTAGGCAATTCAACTTAATCATTTTATTATATATTATAGTATTCACGTATGAACGAAGGCCGTCGCTCCTGCAACCACGGATTCAATATTATTCTGATCAAGAAATTATTTAAATTTATTAAAAAAAACTAAATTAATCTGCAGTTCGTTTGAATGATGTAGCTAAAATAAACTATAATTATAATAATTATTGTCTATACTCAGTGGATGTTCGGCGTGGTCTCTGTGGGTGGTTGTGGGTGGTAGCGGGTGGTGTTGGTGGTGTTGGTGGTGGTGGTGGTGGTGGCGGGTGATGTAGATGGTGGGGGCGAACCTCTCTTCGACGTTGGGCGGGATGCCGAGGTCGCCGGAGCGCAGCTTGCGGGACACCTCCTCGATCTGCAGCTGCACTGCAAGGCAACCGGTTAGCCGCGCGGCCACACACACACATTAGATACGTCGCCGCACACAACACCTACCCTACCTCTCCTGCACTGACTCTAACTCTAACACTAACTCTAACACTTACACTTACCTAAACAATATATTATAATTAATAAAAAATGTTAAAACTCATATTAGCATTAAAGCTGAAATAAAAGTAAGTAGAGTTGTTATTAATCCAAATTTAACCAATCTAAGACCTCTAATAGTGAAATTAGAAATTAGAATTGCCCAAAGAATAATGAGAGAATTGTACAGATATCATCATATATTTCCATAGGAATTTTGAACTCAAATATTACTAAAGCTTTTACAATAATAGAAGCAATTAAATTGCAAAGAGGAAATGATTCGGTTCCTTGGATTGAGCCGATCTCGAATGTAATCTGTCGCCGGTTCGTCTACATCTTACTGCAAATTGAACCTAATCTAAAACTATGTAATTATTGTTTTATTATTAAACCTGAAATTTATTAATTATTATGAGCAAATGAAATAATAAAAACAAATTATGATACTTCATTAAAAACATTAAAATATTAATTATTATTCATCATCATTAACAATTCATCACAACATAATAACTAATAAATACCTTAACCAATTTCTCATCAACAAATTAACATAACCTAAATAACATTATTGTTTCATTACAAAACATAACACAGTTATAATGAAAATATATAAAACTCTATTTTAGGGACAATATACAAGTATAATTTGCAAACAATACAGATATATAAACATGTTGTTTCGTAATGTCCTTTCAAACACATTTTATACATCTTGTATTATTTACATATATATCATTACAGTATCATTTTTGAAACATGAAAATATAAACAGTTGTGGGATGTCTCACATCCGTTTGTATGTTCATGTATTGACGAGGCGTCAAAGAGATGAGATGAGAAGAGACGAGGTGTACTCACGTAGGTACTGCTCCTCCTGCTCGCGGGTCAGGGTGGAGGGCAGCACGGTGGGCAGGCCGGGGATGAACGTCTTGTCGTGCTCCGAGCCCATCCAGCGCGTGCGCCGCCGCCGCGCGCGCCGCTCCGCCGCCGTCTCCCCGGGCGGACCTACTTACAGATGTACAATTCTAATAACAACATTTATATGGATGTCTGATATGGCAATCGTTTGAGATGTCACACTGCAAAGAGCACATGATTAATAGATGCCCTTATTATTTTAATAGTGACATGTGGCCAGCAGGGATAACTGAGTATACGTTTGAAAAGTTATGTTTTGAAAACGAAGGAGACTGTTAGTTGTGATACAGTGTGGTGGTCACCTTGTCCGTCGTCCTTGTCGTCATCGGGGTGGTAGTCGTCGCGCTTGTCGCTGCGGTAGCGGGACTCGGTGCGCGCCTGCAGCTGCTCCAGCTTCTGCTGCACCGAGGTGGGCGGCGGGATGGCGGAGGCGGCGGAGAGCGCGGCGGCGGCGGCGGCGGCGGGCTGCACGGGCGCCGCCATGCGCCGCTGCGCCACAAACGTCTGTTAACCCAAGCGCCGCGCACACGCGCACACGTCACTACTGATCGTTTACTGCAGGGTCACCACTTGTAGCTTCACATTCATTTCTAAATTATTTATCAAAACCTTTAGCAATCTTTCACTCTAACAGTTGCAACCGTTACAGAAACCTAAAGTGGTGACCCTTTTAAAAACAACATTAACTAAATTATTACACATGAAAGTTATTATCGAAAAAAAAGGTGATAGCATTATTGCCAGTTTAAAAATAATAAACGAATACACATTTCAGCGTGGAGAGGTACACCAGTAGGAGAGGCATAGGAAGAGACGGATGGATTTTGTGGAAGAAGACATGGTCAAGAAGGGAGTAACAACTGAGATGTACAGAAAATAAATCAACATAAAGACTGAAAATGTGGTATGTAGACAATAAGGAGATAAGGTCAGCAAGATGATGAAGAATAGTACATGGCTATTAGCAATTGAGTATTTAAACAGTTTAAAAGCTATGAAACAATATATTTAGCATTTTCAACCCAACTACAGATATCACAATTAACTAAATGATGATATTAATGTCTAACAATTCAATCAACAACTGAACCATAACAATAATTTGATTAATACAAGTGCCAGTATTATAATAATTATATAAATAATAGCAGAGTTAACTTATCAATTGTTGATTGATTAATTGATGAGGCAACATCAAGTGAATCTGAATAAGTACTGAAATTATATACTTACTATTTACATAGCTCTTGCTATATAAACTATTATCATATAATAAAGTTCACACTGACTAAACATTCACATTCAATCATCTTCTGATATTAATTTAACAATCAAATAAATTTAAAGTATTAGAAAGATTTATCTTTTATCACAACATTCTTTCATTAGCCACCATTTTCTTAAAAGCTGGCATCACCAGTGAGTTTCATCATCATGACATCAAAACCTCTATATAAAACATATTTAAAACGCATCCCTGTCATTATCTTTGTCAACACAGAGATAACAATATGTTTTAAATTGAGATATTGAACCCCGAAAGGAACAGTAAGATTCACAATCTTGTTGCAGTAATGTGTCCTTGCAATCATTTAACATGAGCAACCATTTTTCATCCACATTACCAAATATAAAGTCAAACAAGTGTATGTGTATTAATTATAGAGATTAAACCTACATTAAAGACTTTTTCAATCGGTCCCATCAAAGACCCGGAAGAGTTTCCAAAACTTTCAGTTAATAATTTAACAAAATAATACATACCTGTGCCACAGCAGCGGCTGCAAGTATGGCAGCCTGTGTGGCAGGGTTGATTGAGCCGTTGGTGGTCACCTGCCGTGAGGTTGCCTTTGTGGTTGTGCCCACCATCTGGTCTAGTAAAGCGATGGTCCCATCTCTAAACAAAACATTACATTTGATTTGTTGAGAACATGGTTATTATAATAACAACAATAAAAGCCTGCATGATCGGTATGCTATACCTGTCTTTAGATTTTCTGCCGCGGCTGCTGGATGGTGAGCGACTGCGACTTGCGCGTCTCTTTTCCTTGTGCCGCTCCCTGCTGCGGCTGCGCTCTCTCTCTTTATCCCTAAATAATTTCATTGATAATATTGCCATAACGGAAATTACTTTAAACCACAACTAAGATAAGTATACTTTTGAATAAATGACAAATTAATTTCCCGTCTAAAGAAAAATTTAAGTAAATAGTGGAAACTGTCAAGATTGTACCTTTTCGATCTGTGTCGATCTCTATCCCTGTCACGATCTCTGTCACGGTCTCGGTTGCGGTCCCTGTCACGTTCGCGATCCTTGTCACGATCGCGGTCGCGGTCGCGGTCACGCTCCCGATCTCGGTCTCGATCTCTATTCTTATCTCGATCCTTATGGCGATCCCGAGACCGCGACCGACTGCGGTCTCGATGTCTTGAACTCATTTTGTTACTAATATTGAACGCTTATATACACGATACACGAAAGCTTTGTTAAAAATTTAGAAGTTAGGCCCTCACTGGTCGGAGAAATATCTATACAAGTAATATAAAAAATATCGACATACTTTTACGAAAATAATTATTACTTTTATGAAGTTTTTTATAATTCACAAAACGGCAAAACGACACGCTTACGATATCAACAAAATGGAGATTAAGCACAGATACAAATAAACCAAAAATCGAACGTAAGACGAAAGTAACTTCCACAGATACACAATAAAGTTAATTTTAAAAATAAGTTACAGTTTCAAGAAGAAAAAAACGCCTGATTTTTATTATCGTCATTGTTACATAAAATAATCTATTTATTGTATATTTTAAGGTTAATTGTTGAGTTACAATATTGTTCTTTAAACACCACAGGCTTCCAGCAGGCTGACTTACTAGGACTAGGTGATAATCTGGAAATAACACTTCGTTTCGATTTAAACGCGAGATTTATGTTATATGACAGTTAAACCTTTTTATGTCATTATTTCAAATCAACACCGCTACTTTTAGCGCCAAAATTGCGAAAATCAAATAGGCACAAAATACCAAGTCTTATAGCCAGTCCATTCATAGAAGTCAGTGCCTGTGACTCCGCCTGCGTGATATGAAAATAAAACTAGTATATTTGTTCTTCCAGAGTATGTTCTACATTTATGCCAAGTTTCGAGACACATCCGTTCTCGAGATACCTTCAAACAAACATCCAATCCATCCATCTAAACTTCGCATTTATAATATTAGTAAGACAGGAGGCAAACGGGCAAGCGGCCACCTGAATTCTCTGAAATAGCGTGGTGCCTATAGACGTCCGCAATTGCAGATGCGTAGCTTACCTTTAATCGAAGAATACAGACGCACAGATAGAGAATATTTCACCTTCCTTTATGTTACCTCCTCCATGAAATCCCCATACCCTGCCAATTAAAATTAGGCCTCCAGCATCACGCGGTATTGCTTTCGCTTCACGCCTGTGAATCTTCTGTGTGGTCGTGGTATTGCACCGAGCGGACCGGTTGGTTTTGCTGACATCTACCACTGTTATTTTCTATTTACCTTCATCATTGTACTAACATACGCCATATAGTGATAATACCTAATTACCCAAATTATTTACCTAAGACCTAAAATAATATGAAATTCTAGCTCTTAGCTATTTTCCTACTATTTAACTAGCTATTGTCTCAGAGCACAACCTATATTTAGGTCAATCTATGAATAGGAAGTAGGTGTAATTGAAATTATTATACTAATTTTGACCCAAATAAATAGAGCATGTTAAAGACTTGTTTCCAAATATCAAGGTAGCGCATAATAGTATTCTACTTTAAATTTAATCTCATATCTATAATGTTTATTAGCATTTTTGTTAAATATTAAAAATTTAATATTTTTATTTGCCACCTTTCTCTATATAGTTCATTAGAGAAGCTATTGCTTCTCTTGATATGATTTTAAATACGTCGACGAGATGCCGCCACGACTTTTAGTCTACCTACCTGCATTATTGGTGAGTTAGGGAGTAAGAATTTTAATAACGAATGGCTGTCATGCTTGGCTAAATGCTGTATGAAGGTAAAAATGAAACAAATAATATGAATAAACAAACATCAGTGCTTCTTCAATATATTTTAAAGATCAAAATACACTTCTTAAACCCTATAACAGTTCAATCATACGAAAATTACAATTTTGAACATAATGAAAAAAAAAAATTGCATTTTGCAATTTGTCAATTACAAATCAAAATACTACATTTAACAGCATACAAACTTAATACAATTGCTATTAGTATTTATAGAGAAGTAGTAATTATACTTGTATTGCTGCAGAGTCGGGCTGCTGAGGCAGAGCAGGGACAATGCTTCTTGTAACCGCCTCAAATGTTCCAGCAAAATAAACATATCTTATTTGTTGAACCAAAAATTTTCAAAACTTATTCTAATACATTTATATTTTTAAATCTCCTTAACATTAAAATATTTCCTAAGTCTTAATAGCTATGTTTAGTCCTGACAGACAGTTTTATGATGTCACTCCACTTGTCCACATCACTACCTTTATAGAAAACTATGTTTACTGATGGGTGATGAATTATACAATGCTGAAATCTTATCCACGGTCAAATGCAACTCTGATCTTCACACATACCTACAAACAGAAAATGCTATTATACAAACAAAAAACGAATATATCTATTTATATGTGGACCATATTTATACAATTTTGTAAAAAATAGTCACATAAAAAATACTAACATTCACAAACAAATATTATTATCATTCATTCATAGCTGCATTTATAAATATGTACTTGTATCAATAACAAAAAATTTACAGTATGAACTTAAGAGCAATTAAGAGTTACATTGAACATTTTAATTTAATTAATATTCTGTAAATGAAATTGGAAAAGAGTTACGTTTTTAATGAAAAGATGACAGACAACAACATGAATCCAAAATCTAGGACTGAGTTTGTACTTTTGTTATAAGATAAGGAATACAGATAGATACTTGCTGTAAAAACTATGTTCGTTTTACAAAAAGTTACACTAGTATTTAATACATGAAATTTTTACATTTCATATAAGGCTTTATACAAGAGTTGTAATATTAACCATAGCTCTTTACATGTTCTTATATTAGTATCAATGCTCTTGTCACAATAATTTTTAAAGATTTGATCCAATCTATACAGGCCAGCATAAATACTTACTTCAGTTAAACTGGAGCACCGGGGCCACCTTTTTTGCCGATAAGGGATTTGTGTATGTGAGGTATGACACCACCTCCTGCAATGGTGGCCTTGATTAAACTGTCCAATTCTTCATCTCCTCTAATAGCTAACTGCAAATGCCGGGGGGTGATGCGTTTTACTTTAAGATCTTTAGATGCATTTCCCGCTAATTCCAGAACCTGAAAAAACATATGTTTGATAAGTATTGGTATCACTATGAAAAATAGAGATTTAAGTTTAACACTGAATTGATTTTCAAGTAATGCATGTATTTTAATATGTATGTTATATAACGCACTTGAGAGATCTATTCTTTGTAGAAAATGTTAATAGTATAAGTGGCCACAATTTAAATTATAACTTCAGTCATGGCAATATTGTAAATGTATAAAAGTAGAGTACACTTTCAGCGCAACGTAAATTTACCAGCAAACTCTATTATTAATTCGTATAACTGTTTCATCTTGTTTATTTATCATTATCATTTGTCATTTTCCCGCCATTTTGTATGAATACGAATTCTTAACAATGTTTTGATTTGTATTTTTATATAAAACTATACTTATTGTACAGGCTTTGTGTTTAAGACTTTACCGAGATATTAAATTAATTATATTTTGTTGTTTAAACGCGAAACAATTAATAATTATTTTTCCCGCCAAAAGTGGTATACTTCAATAGTAGCTGTCAAAATCACTGATAAACTTATTATGTAAATATCATAATATAAATTAAATATCTGAAGCCAGAAAAACGTAAATAGTAAAAGAGATTCTAGAAATCACTAGTAATTTTATATTCTAATTGCCCTACGGACCGACGCCATGTTGATAAGGCGTCGCTTGCTTACCTCGGCAGTTAGATATTCCAGAATAGCCGCTGAATATACTGCGGCCGTAGCACCAACACGGCCATGGCTTGTTGTCCTATTTTTAAGATGTCTATGTATTCTTCCCACAGGGAACTGAAAAATGAGTCATTTATTTCTAAAAACATTCATTGATTATTTCCCTTTGACAATCTTGGCCGCCGCCATACTGAAGAGGTCATACGTATTATTCAATTTTATGAAATTTCAATTTAGAACGATTTTAATGTATTTTTGGGTATGAAAATTCATAAAATAATTAAAGAAGGCATATTTACATACCTGCAGTCCTGCCCTAGCCGATCGAGATACTGCTTTAGCCTTGGCTTTGCCTGAATCTTTACCCGCTTTACCACCAGCCTAAAAATCGTGAAAAAATCTATTAATTTTTGTCCTAGGAAGCTGAAACTTTGCCAGGTTGTAAATCACATGATGATCCATCGAAATACACAGTAAAATCACAATCACAATATCCAGATTTCACAAAATCTTGTAAAACTCACCATTTTGAAACGTGTAACACACTATTACCACTACAGTGAACAACCTATACAGGAAAGGCGCCAAGCTAAATCGACAAGAATGATACAAAGATGGCAGCGCCGCGCCGCGCCACTGGCAGCTACAAGGAGGTTGGCCAATTGCATGCGGGCGGAAATGTCGTAAAAACAAACAACTGTTCAAGCGCTAACCAATCGGTGATCGTTAAAATGGCGGGCCTGCGCAGAGCTGCCAAGCCAAGCGGTGGAGAATCTAGAAACCATTTTTACAACGTTTCATTTCAGCATAGTATACGATATGAATAATTTATTTGATATTTAAAACATAATTCTATTAAAATTATTCTTTAATCTATTGAAACATATGAATTTTCTCTATTCTATTACATGTAATTATTAAATTCTTAACTTAATACAAAATAAAGAAGTAACGTAATCTTGTAGGTATATTATAGCCAAGTCAAAGCTAGACTTAGTACTTACCACTAAAAATAATAATGAAATACTTGTGTAATATTGTTTGGCTGTCAGTATTCATCGTAATTCTGTCCATAATTATTAAAAAAATATTCTTTATGATATGTAACACTTATTTTTTTTATAAATATTTATAATTAAACCTCAAATCTTAACACCTGCAGGCCGAGTGTGAGCATTCCACATTCAAACGGAATTGCTTGTTCAGTCTCGGCAGTTTGACGAAAGAATATGAAACGCTTGCGTTGGAAGTATTATAATTGTGAAATTGTTTTGCAGTTACGAAGCTAGTATTAGTGTTAGAGACGTTTTAACACATTGTCAACAAATAAACGAGACTTTTTTATAGCTTAACACCTAATCTTCTTCTTAAATATAAAGTCGCTTTTTCTGACCTCTGTTTGACTCAAATCTTCTGTTAAAACATGAAACGGATCAATATACTGTTTTCACCATCAAGTAGGTAATTTATTCTGGATTGTTTTGTTTTGATATTTAATTTAAACTTAAGTCTAGTATACATAAATAAATTGCGTATTTTCGAACTCGTTTCGTTCGTGGGCGTGTTCATTTTCTTAACATTTAACGGTGCGGGACGTCACCGGGCAGGGTATTATAGATGTAACAGGGAATATATTAGTCGTATGTCCATTGCCACCCGGACGAACGCATTTTCGTACGAGGTACGGAACCCTAAAAATTATTTTAAATTATAGCTCCACCATGCAATTTGAATGTTGCAACGATAGGTCGAAATAAATAACGCATATAATTACTCTCACGCGGTTATTTGTGACGTAAGGTTACTTTTTACTTTATTTGTATTCATCCATAGAGAAAAGGTATAAGTAAAAGATATTTTATTAGAAAATGAACACTTTATTTAAAAATACTAAAATTATCCAAATTAATTACAAGAGTTTTTGGTTGTACGATCACAGTGTTGCCATTTATATTAAATGCATATTTCAGTAATACAGAGTATACAAGTACTTAGTGATTACACCATAAATATCTATAAATGTTTACATACTTTACTAAGTATTATAGAAAAATTGTATGTAATTAAAAATATATTTTGATTTGAAATCTTGGCAGTGAAACATTTAACAGTTACTGTTAACACTGTTAAATGTTTCACTTCAATGTGAACGATTAATACATTTTAATTTCAACATATATTTTGAATATAAAACAGTGTTTAAGTGTTTTGTTGCATAAAAGGCTAAAACACTGCGCTCTCTTTTTAGATCTTACGAAACTTAGCAAATAATAAAATCTTATAATATATCTACATTATTACTAAAATCTCAGATTTTTTATTATGAATGACAAATATGTTATTTAAAAGTATTCAAATGTTTTTATTATAAAAGATTTTTGTACAAAAGTATGTTTAGGAGGCTTCGTCGGTGAGCTCGTCGCAGCGATCCTCCAGCTCGTACTGCGGACAACAACATTCATTATATATTATTATGAGCAAAACGTATCGTATTACATACGTTTTAAACAAAAGATAAATAAATACATTTAACAATGACAATATTTTTAGTTTAATAAGATTCGATATGGCACTAAAAATGGATTCCATTTGCTTAAGTAATATTGATATGAAGGGGGTCAGGGGTGAGGGGTGATGTTACCTCGTCGAGCTGCAGGCACTTGCCCCACTCGGCCAGCGTGATGCGGTGGTCGTTGTCCTCATCGCAGAGGTCCAGGAAGGGCCCGATGCAATGCTCCAGCGCCATCAGCGGCGCGCGGATAGGGAACAGCTCGTGCCGGGACACAAACCTATCACAACGTTTAGATTTTTATATTATTAAATTATAATTGTACGAAATGATAAAGTATTCACAAAATTACTGAAGTACTTAAAAAACTGATAAGATTTATACATGTTGCAGTAAAGGGCAACTTGGTCAAGGTTAGGTATATACATATACATCCGATATTTAATATTATCTCTTAGTAACCTTTGAACTTATTTTTTGTCATTTTGACTATAACGAAGATGTTGCCATTAGTCAAAATTAAAAGTGTTAACCCATCATATTCTATTCTATTCGTATTCTGTCTCTTCCGCACATAGGTTCCTTTCTTTCCAATAATTTGTATTGACCTGTCGTTGTCGTGAGCGTCCAGGTCGCACCACTTCCAGATGGCGGCGTTGGTCCAGCGGCGCGTGAGGTTGGACTCCGCCTCACGCTCCATCTGCAGGTAGTGCGGCGTCAGCTCGCGGCGCTCCGCCATGTCGCGCATTATGTTGAACAGCCAGTCGCGCATGCGCCGCGGGAAGTCTGACATCTCGCTCTCCGTGCACGCCTGAACACACAGCACCACTATTACACGAGATACGGCATAAAAGGGATCAGGAAATCACATTAACAATAAGTAGCTTTTGTTGTTTTAAGGTGGATAAAATGGGGGCTTGTGTCATGATGGTGAGTGCGGTTTGTACGTACGGGCATCTCGCGGCAGGCGCCATAGTAGTCTATCTGCACGTGGTGGTACTGCGGGCCGCGGCACAGCTCCGAGTTGTCGAGGCAGAGACAGCGCTGCCGGTACACCTCGCAGTCCGACGACCATGTCTCGTTGTGGTGCGTGCACACCTGAACAGCACACATATAAATGTGTAATCCAATTGGCAGTAACACAAGCTCTATTTAAACTGTCGTTCCTGTCTAGCGCTGCACACTATGTCTAGTGTGGCGCTTACCTTGCGGCGGGAGTCGGTTTCGTAGGGGCACTCCTTTATGCAATTGCAGACGGCGTCCCCGTGCTCATCGATCTCGCAGACACGGCCCGCGCTACAGTGCACCTTCAGGCACGGGTCTAAACACAGGAAGAACAAACTTATTTACTCTTGATAGGATAAATGGACCATCAACACATTGTTTTTGCAAACGTTATTACTGACCATCAATAAATACTTCGTTGTCAGAATTTCCTTCGTTGGAGTTTTCATTTAAGATTTCATTGACACGGGCTTTCTCGGATTCCTGAAAGTAAGTTATTTAATTGACATTGCTTAGTTATTTTCAGCAAAAACGAAGTTTGGGAGAAAGAAGGATTCGACAACCACAACGTTCGAAAACAATACCCGTTAAATACACACTCCCGCTGTTTCGAGAGTGCAAATCATTACGGTATGATTCCAAACTTCAAAAGAAGATGACACTTTAAGAAGAAGAATTAAATTTGCTGCCAAATGAAGATTTAATTCAGATGCTGAACTACAAACACAATATTTCAATATTTAAAAATAATTAAGGGATTAAGACCTAAGATTTCGTAAAGAAAGGACATTCCTTAAAGACCGCTATGGTCGTGTAAATTACAGCAGTGATCATGAAATTTAAAAAGGTATGGTGGAATGCGTGAAGTAGTGTGTAACCTGAAAGCGACGCTCGTCGAGGCGCTCCGCCATGCCTAGCTCGAGGTGCTCCGCCTCGGCCTCCTCGCGCGGCGGCGCCGGACGCTGCGGCATCTCCGTGGTAGTCGTGCGCAGACGCCGGTGACGACGACGGTGTCTCTATTCATCACATTTACTACGCTCAGTATCTTTATAATCGATAAGCATATATTTTAGATGGCAGTAACTAGTAGATGGTTTACCTCTGCGTCTGCGGTGCAGACGACTGCTACCAGCAGAGACAGCAGCAACAAACGTCCCTTCATCTTATCTTAATTCTGAAACAAAACATAAGTTTTAATTATACAAGGAAAAAGAATAAAATAATTCTTTAAACAAATTCAACTAGGTTAACCAGAAGACATTAAAATTAGTTTGTAAATAGACATTACAATTCTAAATACTAGTTAAAGCTATGTCAATTGCTATATTTTTTATTATTTTCTTTGCTCGTATGAATGTGTCAAATTTTTGCATAGCACTACTCAATAAAAGAGACATCCGTATGTGTAAAAGAGTTGTGTTCCAATTAAATAGAACAAACAGTTTATAAACAACATCAATAGTTAACAGTATGCTGCCGGCTTTTATAGCCTGTGACCTAATAAATCATGCAATAATGAAGTCATCAATGTTGAAAAGTCAGACAGACAGACAAACACACGACACGTGTGTCATATATGTAGAAGAATCATAATCAACAACAAGATCTTTAGAGAAAAGCAATTTGTATTAGTAAATACTGACAAAATCATGTTTGATGACGCATCCAAAGAAATCAACAATGACGTCATCAAACTGCACGACGTTTGTTGTTGCTGAGACCAGTTTACAAACAAATTCATAACGTCACTTGTTTCTAGCAACAATATTAGTAAATATTAGTAACAAAACATAAAACTAATATACACAAACTAATGACGCTATTCGCTATTTCTGACAGGAGTTCTTTTATTTAGTTTTATTAGTTCCATTCATCTTTTCCAGAAATTGATATGGAATTACTGTTGGATTTTTCGAATCTATATTTTACAAGATCCAACCAAACTTTTAACGTATAGCGCTCAGTGTTCCATCAGCTTTATTCTAAATGAAATAGTTCCCGGCTCTGGGCTCGTCAGTAATGCAGTCCAGACGGGCGGCATAGGTAGGTACTACCGGCGCATGCGCAAACCGTAAACATCCTCGCATCGACCGCGACTTCGCAGAAACTTGCTCAAGACGAGCGCTCGGCGGCCACAGACTCGTAAAGGTGCCTTCTATTTCAGGCAAATAGTCAAACAGATGCACGGATACAGTACACTGGTCGTATTGTTATTAAAATCTAGGTAACCTAAATACGTATTGAACGTTAAATCCCAAGAAACTAACTCGTTAAGATATTTTGCACTGTAAAGTAATAAAATGCTGAGTAATGGTGATTCCACACTGTCGTAGCAACTGTATAACAACAATATTGCCATCCTTTTCTTGTAAGGACAGTTAAATTAGACCATAGAGATATTAGTAATCACTGCACTCCTCAGTTTTTGTCTCCGACTAAGTATAGCCAGTGTTTATTGTCATAAACAAAGAGGAAAGTTACACGGATAGAGTTTACGATTACGTCAGATTGTTTTGGAAGCTTATGTACACACGGTTGGTGAGCCACCGGTTTGCTTTGAGAGAATAGATAATATTTTGATATCTAGAAGCAGTTAGCGACCAATGTGTTGTTTTAAAATCATAATATTTTCATCTATGAAATTAGGCGACAAGAGACACGCTCTCCTCTCCCATCTGGCTAACTCTAGACTTTCATTTAGTTGCTATGTTTAAGAAATTTAATTTTATTAATAGTGTTTAGTTGTGACGGCTGATATTGTGCGTTCGTCGCCCTTTTAGGACGTTGCACTCTAAGGTTATATTGCATCGCGACGGACAGCGACCTCTGCTGGATGAGACAGGAACCACATCTTCATTCCATTCCCTGCTCAAGTCTCCTAAATAAATGTGTACACATATACACTAACCCATGCAGCAAAACCAAGTTATATTAATGCTTGTTGTAACATTTAGTAATTCTAAGAGAAACTAAATATGTTCTGGAACATTCAATATATTAATGCAGGCATCAAAATGATTCTATGTATGTGTAATATGATAAATAGTACGACAACGCGCTAATAAAATTCCTCGAAAAGTCTCGTATAAACAGTCGCATCAAATTACACTACCTAACATTTGTATTGTTATAACGATCTTTGTCTTACGTAAGCATGTCCAAGGAATTAATAAGCGGAACATCGCTATGAAAATCAACAAATTCGCATTTAAAGTGGATGATCGATCATACATCAGGGCACTGAGTCTAACCTCTGTTTTAAATATTTGATAACAGTTGTTATGGCCATACAATTGAAGTTATTTTTTAATTTTGCAGAAGTAATAAAATGTTAAGTGGCTGATGAATTTTGCAGACGCGTGATGATGTAACGACATAGCGAATATAATATATATATATATATATATATCGGACAGAAGTATGACATCATCACAATACCTACATTAATGTTTTATAGTTGATATGTTTTAATTAAAAACGCGAATTCAAATGTCATTTATCCAAATTATTGTTCTTCCGAATGGTGAGAGGCTTTGTTTTTTCATGACTTGTACAGATGGCGCTACTTTTTGAATAAAATCATTGTGGTGAAGGGATGATAGCGCATTCAACATATTTGTTATGTATACTCTTTTTTAAACTCTGGCTAAGTACTGAAAATATTCGAAATAAATTTAATAATTTTATTAATATATCTACAACTCTGTTATAAGTAAGATAATTTTAATTTAACTTGTGTATACTGCAACCGAAACATGCCGGATAACATATATAACGACACCAACGCCCCCACACACTTGGCTGATGTTCCTGGAACTTATTACGAAGACATTTAATATTCAGTTTTTGCTTACCGTTTGTGGATTACGAATTAATAAAAGTTTTACTTGTTAATTTTACTAATATTATAAATGCGAAAGCTTAGAATGATGGAGGGATGGATCCGTTTCGTTTAAATTTGGTATAGATGTAGAAAATAGTCTGAAAAACGCGTAGTGTAATTATTATAATGTACTTAATTCATCGTCGCGGGCAGCAACTAGTTTACGTTATAATTTAAATTGCAATGAATGTGCGGTGTTATAGAACTGTGTCTTCATGTATTTATCATTTAGAGTTGTTACTGATGACATATATATGTAAGCATATAATTGATAGCTGCTCTGATTGCAGAAGGACACAGTGATTGTTGTGCCGCGGCCGGGAGCTGCGCGGACATATTTTTCTATTGACCCAAATAACAAACTCGGCTACCTCACATTTCAATTGACGGATGACACTCGTCGTTTAACACTAGACCTCTGCCTCGATGGACACTGTTAGTTATGCGAGGTACAAATGGTCGCAAGGCTGATTCACTTTTATTTGCACTATAGAAACTCAGAAACGGAATATGAATTGTGTGCATATAGTTATGTTTGACTTAAGTTATGATCAAATGTCGGACGGCAAATAACATATTGGGTAGAACATTAATGTGCTCAACTGTGTATATAAGATAATTTAATCGAGTAATAAAAAATTGATCATAGCCTCTTTCATACAGCAGATTGGGAGCACAAGATGACGGATGTCAGGAATATTTTTAAACATACGATAACCCGCCGACCCGCGCCCGCCCGCCCGCTGACCGAATCTGCGTATCTATGTCGCGTTTGTAATAATCTACTAAGTACTTGATTTTGATTTTTTCATACCGAAATAGTACTAAAGTAAGTATGAACGTAATCTTAGCAAATACAATAACTGTTACTTTAAGGATCACTAAGTGACTCTTCTTTAATGTTAAGAATGAGAAATCTGCACTAAAATGCTGTTTAAATAACGATGATGTGACTCTGAGTACGAGTAAGTATGAAAGAAGTGGCAACAGTTTATGTTAAGGGATGTGACGTAACGTGTGTGATTTCCGGGAATTTGGCAACATGGCTGACGCCCGCGCCCCGCGCTCCCGCGCCTTGCTAACCGCTTCCTATAGCGATATCAACTCTGATTCATTGCGAAAATAACATTTCAAAATAACAAATTCAGTTCATGTGCCACAGATAACCTTTGCCGACTGAAAGAAGCTGAAAACTATAAAAACGGGATTTGTGGTTCACCTAACACATGTAAGGGAACAGTAAATTTGTTCCCACTGGCATTGAGCAATCAGGAAGCATCTTATCACAACACGTATCCTTAATTGAAGTCTCTATTAATTTGTAAAAAATTATCAATTAACTTATTAAAAGCTTACACATTTGATACTACGTTTTGCCTTACATTCATATATTATTATTATAGGTATTATAACCGCATATTAAAAATTCACCGATAGTGCAAGACATAGTGTACAGTGAACAAGTTTTATGAGTAAATAAATCCTAACTAGGTCATGTTAAAGCTCCGGTGGCTGGCTGCGGGGTGATACGGGGTGTTACGCGCGGCGGGGGAAGCTGGCCGGCGACGGAAGCCTGCTTATCACCGCTGCAGATAGCCGCGCGACCCCGCACTGATAAACGTGAAAAAACACAGCTTTTTGTAGCCATTTTTATTGCGGTGACAACTGCAAATATTCGCGGAAATCGCTGTCAAAGTACTATAATGAGGTCTTGGGAAGGAGAGAAGGTAGCGTACTAATACGTAGGTACACAACAACAAGGTACACAATAAGAATGTGTCATCGACGAAGCTTTATCGTAAGTTTTATTTGATACTAACTGTCACCCGCGACTCCGTCCGCGCGGAGTTAAAAAAACTTTATTAATAGGATATGTTGTTCAAGACTGCGTTCTACATCTATGCTAAATTTCAGCGAGATCTGTTCAAAACAATATCAATAAAAAGATGTGATGAATCTAAATAATTAGTCAACAAACAATTTATCGAATGTGTGTCCATTGGACAACAATGCGAGTGTATAACACACGTAAACAAACAACAAAGACAAATGCAACACAAGCTTACTAATACTGAGGGCCTAGCACGATTTGCAACAAAGTATTCGTAACGTCATCGACATTTGTATTGGATTTGTGCAGCGCCTCTATCGGCCGTAAAGTACAACGACAAATATCACACATTATGTAAATGGCGTTAGAAAAACAAATATCGCAAATATTCGTGATACACCCTCTGATGTAGCCGTGGTTTGTCAATGCTCAAACATCTGTGCAAAAATTAATTGTTGTCTCGGCAATGCGCTTTCAAAAAAAAATTATAAACAATATTTCTGTTAAAATGTTTCGGCGATGTTAAGCTGTTCGTTATACCACAAACCATCATATTCAAAGATACAGCTTTGTCAGAAAAATCAGAAACGTATTGAGGTAAATAAATATAGATAGAAAATTTATACTTGAAACGTCGAAAACTTTGACTAAAATGAAGGCTTTATCTGTGAAACTATTTTAATTTGGAAACAATTCGTACCCGATTTGCACATAGCTTTAGAGATTTTTTTTATTTAATATAACATGATATTGTTAAATAAAATAAAAGTACAGTTTATGTTAGTTCTGTATGACTCGGAGAATAGTTTGATTGATATATATTAATGGACATATCATATCAAAAAAATAATTGACATCACAGGGGACCGAAGAGCTGGCAGCTATCTCGGACAAAGAATTAGTATAGCTATTCAAAGAGGGAACGCTGCCAGTATCTTCGGAACCTTGCCTATAGGGACTCCTTTTATTAATATATTTTAGTAAATTATTCGTTTTTAATATTTTATTTAATATTTATGGACATTATTTTTACTAAATATTAAATAGATGATGTATAATAATACGGTATACATGTTACTATGCGTTGTTAATATATTAATTTATCTTCAGTTGACTAAATTTAAATATATTTAGGTCAGGGTTCACAAAGGTTAACACGAAGTTGATACACTTTGATTTGAGATAAAATTACTCGATTTTTATAAAACTTTATCAAGTTAATTAACTAGAAATGTAAATAGAGACTGACGGTTAAACTAGGCCATACGTTTGAGTGATTTGTAATAATAACATGCACTGACCTTTATAAGTGGACTGGCTATAAGACGTAATGTTTTGTGCCTATTTGATATTTGCCATTTTGCCGCTTATGATACCGATGATGTGGATTTGAACTAATACTATAGATGCAATATAATTTACTGTCACGTAACTTCAGCAGGCGCGTTCAATTCAGAACGAAACAAAAACTGTAATTTCCAAGCAATCGCCTAACTATTTATAGAGATGAGATATTGCAGGTGTCAGGATTTGTAGTTGTCACTTGTCACATTACGAGAGTTCAGGGAAAAAATCAACATTTTTCCCATCTTTTACAAATGACTTTAAAATATACATTTGAGATATGAAGTCGTTAATGGTTTTAAAATAAGTATTGCTGTCACAGACCTTTTAGAGATTTTATGGGCGATGCCAAAGTTTTGAGATTTTGGCAACAAGTTTCAAACACATATAATACTTTAAAAATAAATTAGTAATTTCCTTAAAACTTTTCAAAGAATTAAAGCGAAAAGTTTTGTTAAGTTGTTCTAAGTTTAATTTATCGCAATTTATTGGCGCGGAAAATTATTATTCGATAGAGAATGAAATTATCGTAAAGTTATATTGAAATCTTGCCTTTTAATTAATCAAAACAAAGTACCGAGAACTTTAAGTTCAAGCAACGATGAAACTAGAAGTTCTTTAGAATTAGCATTTTGTAAAAGCTCTTTTATACTGTTATTATAGTTAGTTAATTATTAAGAATGTAAATTATAACATCATTAAGTATATATCTTTCAATATCGAAACCTTTTTTTAAACATCTGACCTTACTCCAGTTAAGGTCCAGGAACCTGTTCGGCACGTACCCTTTCGTCCTGTTGCCCTGATTTTTAATTTATCAGCCGTGTTTTATTATTTGAGGTGTTAACTAAGCAAAATTTAAATAATTAAATTAAAATAAAATGATACACTATGCATATCGATTAAGGGTTACACTGTCTTGCTGTACTTTGCAGTTAAAATATTATAAAAGAAGAATTAATATTGTAATTTAAGATGAAAAATCAAAAGGCAAGATGTGAAACATCAGCACTTACCTATAGACCAGCTTCCGAGCAAGTGCAAGTGGTGGCTGCGACTCGAGCGCGCGCCGCCGACTGGACACGAGTCCGCGCGCTGCTCCCGGCGCGCCGGCGCACGCGCACTCATCACTTTTGTTATGTATGTCATAACATTGTACACTATTTTTTTAATTCTTATTTGTAACTAAGTGTTCAAATTTAGCTGCTTAATTTTTTTGGATTGAATCCCTTATATATCTGACGTCGAGTTTTAGATCTAAGACTTATTGCACACTGCCGCGAAATTGAGCATAACCTGGAGTTTGATATGAATCTAGCATGGTTCATATTAGATTCCTGCAGACGAGTTTAATTAGGTAAAAAAATTAAAATTGAAAAATCCCAAACTGACCTGCAACTGTTTCGTTTCTGATGATTAAAATAACGTCCTGAATCAACGCCATCTATACTCTAATAATTATAACTTAATCAACAGGGCCGGTCGTATTCGTAAGTCTGTGAATCCATCTGCGTCTTGACTTCTGATCGTGGCACTTGTCTTTCGATAATTCTTAATATTAGAGCATGTCTGCCTCATTGTATGTCACATATACGTAGTTGCGCCTTCCTGTCGGTATTTCACAATTTGCGATTGCTTATCGACATTACAACCGAACTTTTGCAAGTAGGTCACATGTATAAAATTATATAGATATTAATAACTTGACTTCTAGTTAATTTTATTTTAGATTTATTATATTTCTCAAATAGGTAAGAGGGTTGTTGAAATAAAACACGTCGTCTGTTACAAAAAGTACATCTCTATTATAGAGGGCAGCAGCGAGAACACGTCTCGCTGCTCGTCAAACATTTGTCCAAAACCAAAAGTTATCGAGACAAAGTTCAGACCCCACACGAATGGAGACGAGGTCTGTTGAGGTACAGATATGACATCTGTGATAACATAAAAGGTTGTGTTTATTGTTTGAGAGCGCGGCATGGGGTCTCAACTCTGCAGTGATGGCTGCGAGGACAGACATCGCTCTCGTTTTAAACTTCTACATAAATCAGACAATGGAATATACTAGACATGAGATATTTATTCATTTTAATTGTCAAAGTTTATTACATAAAAAGTACAACCGTCCTTTTTTAAATACTCCTAATGTTTTCACGTAATGTAACGTAAATTAAGATTTTTTATTTGTAATTATTAATTATACAAACAAAAGATACCAAGAGGAGATAATTTATAATATTTCTAAGGAACATACAGAGCACAAATGAATTATTTGTTTAGTCAATCGATTTATTTTTGAATGATTTTAAAACTTGACGATGTACAATATTAGCTCGACATCGCAATAAATTTAAATTTTAAACCAATATCAGTGTAAGACATAACTTATTTTTAAAGACACAAGACAAGCCAATTAAGTTTTTGAAATGCAATAAATTATATGTAGAATTGGTGTAGTAATTTGAAGGAAATAATTGTATAATGTATCCGATGTCCGTCCGGTGAGAAGATACTCTCAAAGTATTTACAATAAATAAGTACAGATAATTTTGCAGGAAGTAGAGCGCGACTGTGACTGCGACTGCGGCGCGGTGTTGCATCGCAATATCAGAGTAATCACATAGTACGTAGTAATTATTGAATCCCACTGCCTTCCCAACAACACTTGCTTTACAATATTTGTTGTTTTTTTTTAGAATAGATGACATGTGTTTAATTTTGTTTACAATGATATTTTACGACAATAAGCAATAATTTCTTAAGCAGAGTTGAATGGGGGCATGTGGGTGTCTGCCGACGACACAACAGTGGGCGCGGTGTGGGCGCGGTGTGGGCGCGGCGCGGTACTCTCAACCTGGTAGTTGTAGTCACAGTAAATCGCCCCAATATGTCGGAGCTACTCTACATTCAAATGTACCAGTTCAATATTTACAATCAAGACAAACCTTTTTTTTTCTATTTATATTATTTTTATGATAGTAAAATGGGACCCGTTTGTAATTTTAATGCCGGACAAAGTACGTCTGTGGACTGAGCACTACTCGTTATCGCAAAGGAAGAAGTTTCAAAATGTAACATCGAAACAAAACCGGTACGTTTGTCTTGTACACGCATTAATAATTACAAAGGGGTAGATTTAAATTAGAGAAAGTCTAAAAGTTCGATCGAAATCTAATACAATAAGCGAAGGTGGTCGCCTGCACACCTGTTGCTTGAGCGGCCTGGCGACCTGGCCACCTGGCGACCTGGCGACCTGGCGACCTGGCTGGCTACACTTACAAACACGCGCAGACAGAATTTACACTTTTACTAGTCTTTTCATATATCTTGTGGCGACGAGGCGATGTGCTACTGCTGCCGCTACACACAACAAGTTAACAGCCGCCAAGATATTTGAACAGACTTGTACAGACACATAAAGTATTCATATACCAAGTTCACATTCAGTATACATATAAACAAAAATACAAATCAATTTAGACATCGCTCGAGATAAATAGACGAGCTCGACACAACCCGCCGACAAGCCCGCACACAAAATGCCCGCCGCCAGTCACAGCTTCGAGAACCACTTTTATTTCAAAATGTCCCAAAATTCTCTAGCTTCCAATGTCGTATCAATAACTTTCCCGACAGGGTAGGGAGGTCCTTACGACGCACATGTCCTAGGCCTAGGGCATCGACTGATAGCCCTACCGATCCTTAGCTTAGAGACTGTACAGGACATACGGCTCTAGACCCAACTCGACTCACAAGTGCTGTGAAGCGAACGAGTTTACAAAATACAAGCATACACAATTATATGACATATGGTTTCATGATTGACATTGACGTGTGGAAACTATCAGATATTGTACAAGAAGCATTTTCATATCATTTAAAGTCTATCATTTAATTAATAAATATTATAATAACAAAAGTATAGACTTGTATTTCCGACAATAAGTATATTGTCTATGGATAAATCGTGACATCAGATTGTGCGTTGATTTTTAATTTTATTTAGATTCATTCTATGATAATATAATGAAATGTAAAATAAACACTAAATATGCTAAAAAATGACTACTGTTGTAAAATATCTGAAAGTTTCCACAAAAACAAAGTAAATTGTTACACACATTTACATTTGAATATGGATCGTTGAGATTGCTCTAACAGTAAGAGAAGGTCTACGTGCTTTTCTCAATATATTATTATTTAGACGCATCCGACGAAAACAGTTACATGTGTTGCAGGATGCAACTGTTTCCATGACACGTGTTGGTGTGGTGTGGTGTGGTGAAGACACAGACGTGACAACGTGACGTCAGTACGTGTAGGCGAGTGCGCGATGTGACGCGGGACATCGAACATTCATTTACTATCTAACTACTTAAGAAATCGAATGTAATAAGCGATCTGCGAAGCGTTAGTGTGCGCGCGTCACGTCGCCTGTCAGCGGGCTGCTGCGAGCGGCGCGCGACGTGACGCGCGTGACGCGAGGCGGGGACAGGGGGCGGGCGCGTCACGTCGCCGCGGGGGCACGACATAACGTTAAACAAACCGAAGTTAAACGTCGTCATTACAATTAGTCCGAGTATAGTACGAGAGTAACCTAAATAAAATCTATAAAATTACGCAAAGTAACTTATACAAATAATTACAAATTAACATCGAAATTGAACCTGGGGACGTGATTTGTAACAGAATACGCTGCGGGCGCTGGTGTCGCGGCGGGGCTGCGGGGCTGCGGGGCTGCGGGGCTGCAGGGCGGCTAGTGGAGCAGCAGGAAGCCGGCGCACGCACCGACCGGCGCCGCCCGCGCTGTGGACACGACACACGGTGTTGCAGTACCGGGGGGCTGGGGGCTGGGGGCTGG